TACTTCACTGTTCCAGTTCCATCTATGCGTAGGGGATTGGCAGCTGCTCCGCCCATTATTATTAATGAATTACCAAATGTGCATCCCACACACAGCCACCGGGAACTGAAGGCATCCCTCCTACACCCTACTTTGTTTTGAAGCTTCCAAATGTTATAGGGTGGCTATTTCTTTAATAAGTAAAAATCACTGAAGGTAGCATAGTATTTGCTTCCGTAGCAAAACTGATGTGTTACAGGAATTAGTAAGGAATTATAACTTAGTTTATCCATTGATTTAAAGTATCTGTTAGATGAGAAGTACAAGTTGTCCTGTCGAAAACGAGCGTTACAATGTTGGTGGGGGGGGGGGGAGAAGTGGGGAGGATTGGGTGGGGGGTGGAGGGGGAGGCTGGGAAGGGATGTGAAGGGTAAACAAAGGAGGAGGCTGCAATGCTTGATAAGAAATGTATGCATTAACCTGCCCATGTAATTGTAACCCCTCTGTACAGTGTGTTCACAAAAAATAAAAAAAAAAGAAAAAAAAATAAAGTATCTGTTAGGTCTCTGCCATCTAATGAATGTGTATGGCCCTTAAAGAAATGTATGCATACAACCAGGACATTTCATTAAGAGCAAAAAAACAAGCCAGGCCCTGGTGACTCACGCCTGTTATCCTAGCTACTCAAGAGGCTGAGATCTGAGGTCCAGGGAGGAAAATAATGAGATGTTTATCTCCAGTGAAGCACCAAAAGAGGGACAAAAATGGAGCTGTGGCTTAAGTGGTTGAGTGCTAGCCTTGAGCAAAAAGCTCAGGGTCAATAAAGAGGCCCTGAGTTCAAGCCCTAGGAACAGCCCTCCTTGGTTACCGTTCCCCCCTCCCCCATACTCAAAGTGAAAAGCAATGACCATCACTAACAGTTAAGTGACTTTTCTCCTGAAAAATAGGAGAAACAACAACAAAAATGCAGACCTCTAATTATATCTTTAAAGTGAAGGAAGGAAGGAAAAAAGAGAAAAATAATTTTAGATATGATGCCTGTATGTACTAGACATCTTTAATTATAATCTAGAACAGTCTCCATTTGTACCTTCTATCTTTGCATAATTATTAATTACTACCCATCTACTCTAATTAAAGATTCTAATTTGGATGGATAACTATATGTTGATCAAGGCTTAGGGCGTTCCTTGTACAGCTACAATATCTTCCCCAACTATCTAGGGTGATTTCACTTTTCACTTATAACCTTCTTGTAGGCCACTTGGTTCTACAAAAGTAGCAAGAAAAATATACTCGAACTTGTATCTTCATAGGTTATAAAATTTATCCACCTTTCTCCTACTCTTCCATCTTTGTGTCCCCACTACTCTGTCTTTCTGTTTTGTGACACTCTCCTAAAACAGATTTCTTACACTAAATGTCAGGAAAAGGTCAAAGAGTGTCATTTTAATAGCCAGGTGCTGCTGGCTCATGCCCATAGTCCTAGTTGCTCAGGAAGCTGAGAGGTGAGGATCACAGTTTGAAGGCAATTTTGGGAGACTTTTATCCCCAGTTTACCAGCAAAAAGCCAGAAGTGGAGCTGGATAGCTCAACTCATAGAATGCCAGCCTGGAGAAAACAACCACCACCACCACCACCACAAGAAAAAAAAGGAAAACATTCCAAACCCTAAGATACAGCACTCAGAACTTGAGTTCAAGCCTCAGTTCCGCTGTGCTCACACGAAGAATGTGCCACTTGATGAATATTTTCTTTTTCTTTCTTTGCCAGTCCTAGGCTTGAACTCTGGGCCTGGGCACTGTACCTCAGCTCTTCAGCTCAAGGTGAGTGCTCTACCACTTGAGCCACAGCGCCACTTCCGACTTTTTCTGCTTATGTGGTGCTGAGGAATCAAACCCAGGGCCTCATGCATGTGAGGCAAGCACTCTACCACTGAGCCACCTTCCCAGCCCATTGATGAATATTTTCATATAGAAACAGCATAAAGCTTTTAAGTCATTGTGTGTGCAAAACTGAAGTGTGATAGGTCATATTCTTTTCAATGGATAAGGAAGTGGATCACACTGTTCATTGTCATAGGATAATCAAATTGATTATCAGATTGAAGGCCTGTTCCATATCTAACATGGGTTCTCTGGTCTTAAAGAATCCATAGTCTAGTAATGGAGAACAGATTGAGTGGTAATCCCAGGTTCTGCTAAATGTTGTAGTGCTATTATGTGGAAGGGCAGTGGGAGAGCAGACGTGAGATTGTCTGCAGCCTGGGAAAAGTTTTAGAGGCCCATCACTTAGTCAGTGAGGTGTGAACTAAGTTTGGGAGGAGAAACAGAGTGTGAGTTATTAATCAGTGTGTGGACCTGGTGCTACTTTGTTCTTGAAGAAGTAGACAGCAGGACCTGGCCATCATACACTGTCACAGAAATAAAAAGGGCTTCTTCTGAGTTTTGTGTTGAGCTCTTTCATTGTTAGGATAAAGAATGGTAGTTGGCAGATCACTATTCTGTGTGTATGGGGGGGGCACACGGGTATGCACTTGTCCTTGGACTTGAACTCAGGGTGTGAGCACTGTCCCTGAGCTTTCCTGCTCAAGGCTAGCTCTCTACTACTTGAGGCACAGCCCTACTCCTGGCTTTTTTGTGTGTATGTGTGTGGTAATTAATTGGAGATAAGAGTCTCATGGATTTTCCTGCCTTGGGTTGGCTTCAAACTGCAGTCCTCAGATCTCAGCCTCCTTGGTAGCCTCATCCGCATCAGGCTACAGCTCACTGTTCTTGTAAGAGGCATCATTTTACAATTTGATACCTCTTCAAATGTAGTCTGGAAAAAGCCATTATAAAGCTCTCTGGCCTTTCCTCAGCAAAAATAGACTGGTATTTTTTAAAGTCTATTCCCAGAGGTCTTATTTTTCTTTCTGTAAAAATTTCACTCTTCTTTCCTTTTCTGAGTTCAGTCTGTATATGGTTCTCATCCCCCACACTTGAATATTTTGTATTCAGCATTGGAAATCACTTCTATATAAACTGGTATAGTCTCCCAAATCATTCAGATTTATTTGGATCTCAGTGTCATGCTTTCAACAAAGTACCTTACAACAGTGAGTGAGCAATGTTGAATAAAAGAAATACATCATTCCAGCCATAGTTATTGCATGGTAGTCACACCCTAGTCTTTGATTCTTTTTCTTCCCTATAGCTTGTTTTCTGCCCTTCAGTTACACTAATTTCTGTAAGCTTTGTCTTCCCACATTTTCTCCCATGATCCAATTGTTCATATGATTTCCAGGTTCCCATCTACGTAATTGTCATGTAAATTTATGTTGCCTGTATGGATGGGTTTTGAATCACTTCCTGTAGTCTTTCTTCTCTACTCATATCTACTCCACAAGCAAGCCCTACAGTTTCCAGTGAAATGTCTTTCATCTCCTTCTCTTCCAGTGTCTCTTTTTCTATCATGGTACCTGTTCATTTCTTACTGCTATTCTCACTTCTGAAATAGCACCCCTCTAATAAGCCATTTTTCACAATGATGCCAGTTCCATTCTTCTAAAATGCATGGTACCCTTGAAGAAAATAATCATTAGCAATGATGTAATTTGGATATCATCTATGCTTGCATAGAGAGGCAATTCGGAGCTCTGAAGTTACAACACCTGAGTTGGAATTTTGACTCTTGCACTTGTTAGATCTGTGGTCATAGACAAATCATTTCCCTTTTCCATGTCTCATTTTTCTCATCAGTAAAATGTTGGAGATTCTTTTTTCTTTCTTTTTTTTTTGGGGGGGGGGTCTGGTCGTGGGGCCTGAACTCTGGGCCTGGGCACTGTCCCTCAGCTCTTCAGCTCAAGGCTAGTGCTCTACCACTTGAACCACAGCGCCACTTCCAGCTTTTTTCTTTTTGCTTATGTGGTGCTGAGGAATCGAACCCAGGGCCTCATGCATGCAAGGCAAGCGCTCTACCACTGAGCCACCTTCCCTGCCCCTTGTTGGAGATTCTTATAGTCCCAGCTTCTTGGGAGGCATTGGTAGGAGGAAAAAAGTCTGAGGTCAGCCCAAGGCCAAAATGGGAGCCCTTTGTGAAAAATAACTAAATCAAACTGGACTTGAGGTATGGTTCCTTAAGTGGTAGAGCAAGGCCACAAGTCAAACTCCAATGCCAAAAAAGGCAGGAAGGCAGGAAGGAAGGAAGGAAGGAAGGAAGGAAGGAAGGAAGGGAGGGAGGCAGGAAGGGAGGGAGGGAGGGACGGAGGGAATGAGGGAAGGAATGAGGGAAGGAAGGGAGGAGAGAAAGGAGAAGGGGAAATGGCAAAGGGGAAAAGGAAAGGAAGGGAGAGGAGGAAAAAAAGAGAAGAGGAGGGGAGAGGAAATGGGCATAGTAATTAGACCTACCATAAATGTATCATTGCATGGATGAAATGAAAACTCTTAACTGTCTTACATAGAGTAAGGGCGCAGTAATAGGTATTAATTGTTATTAGACATCATTTCTTTGCAAGATTTAGAGATAGAAACGTAACAAAATTGGATGCCATATATAAAATATACTTAAAATTATTGTGTAACCATAATCTGGAATCACATGTAAAGTTCAGCAATTAAAGTTATCTCAGGGCAGGTGCTGGTGGTTCACACTTATAATCCTAGCTGCCCAGGAGAATGAGATCTGAGGATCATAGTTCAAAGACAGCCCAGGCAGCAAAGTTAGTGAGAGTCTTATCTCCAGTTAACCATCTGAAAATTGGAGGTGGAACTGTGGCTCAAAGTGGTTAAGCACTAGCCTTGAGCAAAAAAGCTCAGGGACAGTGCCCACACCCTGAGTTAGAGCCTCAGGATTGACCAAAAAAAAGAAAAAGAAAAAAGAAAGTTATCTCTGTTTTGCTTCTGTTTCTGAGGCATATTTATTATCAGTACTGAATACAATATGTAAATGTTCTGAACATCCTAAGTAACAACACTGTGTAAGCAGAATTTGGGGATTATCATTTGTTCTCAACACAGGCATATTATTTTTTTCCTAAACAGGGTAGAAATTTAGCATCGGGAGAAGTTGGATTTTTCCCAAGTGATGCTGTCAAACCTTCTCCCTGTGTAAGTACTAGTATTTCATTTCTTTCGTGTTTTATTTTACTTTTGATGCTACGTTGAATAGTCCAAGAATGTATGAAGAATATTGTCCAGGTTGTTTATTAATAGTTTCTGCAAGGATCGTATTACTTCCAGTATCTTTAGGATTCTATTGTAGATAACATTTTTAAATGTTAAGTAAATATATGCGAGATGCAAATTTAATTTAGAAGGATTTACAAATTCAAGTTGCCTAAAAGGTTTTAGGAGACAGAAATTAAAGCTGCAGATTAGATGCATTGCAGAAGATTCCACTTTCCCACTGAGGCGAGAACAGCAGGGGCTAATCTTTCCCTGCCATCCTGTTACTGGGATTCCTCACACTTCTACTTGTAGCTTCAGAAGCATTCTGGAAAGTAAAAAGTCCATGGATTACTCAGTCAAATACCAAAATGCATGTTCTGTGCTTTAACAGGTCATTGCTGTTTGTTTAATGTCATAATAAACTTTTCTGTAATGATTAAGGATAAAAGAAGAATATAGTCTCAAAATATAGGTGAATGTAGTATAAAATAGGCTCTCCATTCTTTGGGGTGACATTACCTTAACATCACAATGTTTGCTTGTTTTGTGCCAGCACTGGTGCACAAAATATCAGGGCCTATGCACTGCTCTGGCCCTTTGCTTTTTTGCCCAAGGCTGGTGCTCTACCACTTAAACTATACATTCACTTCCAGCATTTGTTCATTAACTGGAGATAAAAACTCATGGGTTTTCTTGCTCTGACTGCTTTAAACTGTGATTCTTAGATCTCAGCCTCTTGAGTAGCTAGGATAACAGAGGAGAGACACCAGTGCCTGACTTGCAACTATTGTCTGTGTGCATGTGTGTTTTTGCTGGTATTGGGACTTGACTTGAGGGCCTGCCACTTAAACCACACCTCTAGTCTGGCATTTTTGCTGGTAACTGGAGTCAAAGTCTTGTAGACTTTTCTGCCTGGACTGAGTAGCTAGCATTTCAGGTATGAGCCACTAAGCCTACCTTTGTAATTTAGTTAGGGTAGATTTTTTTTCCCACAAAACTTTGTAATACAGTTACTGAGTACAAAGAAAATGAAGTTTTGTCATTAATATGATGGATATTATTACTAAAAAGAACCATGGAAATTCTTCTTAAATTATCTTTTTCTTAATCTCAGTAGTTCCCATATTTTGAAACTGGACATTCTTCATATATTACCAATATGAATGTCTGCCACCTTTGATTTTAGAATGTAATGGATAAAATATTTTTACTCATTCAAGCTTCTTTTCTTTTCTTTTCTTCTTTTTTTTATTGTGAACATACTGTACAGAGGGGTTACAATTACATGGGCAAGATAATAAGTTCATTTCCTCAAGTATTTTCTATTCTGTAGCTTTTATGATCTTAGGATTATTTTTATCTTGGATTATGCTATAAATTTAGAAATTGATGAAGTTTGATACTATTCTTATTTAATTTGATAAGTAAATATCAATAAGTAAATCAATAAGTAAAAATAATTGTTTAGCTAGTTATCTATCACATGTAAAAATGACATTCATGCTGCCTGTCTGTAAAAACAATGGATTTAAAAGTAGGCAGGCAGGAAAAGGCTAATTCTAACATTGTAAAATTTAAAAACTTGGGACTCAGGATATTGAATCAAAATTACTAAGCATTTCAAGTACTAATGTCTGGCTATGCATTCTTGAATATGGTATATAATGATTTGACTTTAGAGATAGCCTGGCCCAAAGTAGGAATTTAACTATTTTCATTGAATGAACAAAAACAACCACAACAAAAAAGAAGTACATATAACTATAGTACATATACCTATATGCATACACACAGTAGTGCTAGGTACTAATGAAATCAGCTTAGAGAAGTATACTGAATGATATTTGATAACTCTATAAGTAACTAGAAGGAGAGATATATTCAGAAATTTTAAGATAAGAATTGTAAAATAATACATAATTATGGATAAAACTACCAACTAATATGATTGCTTTCATAACTCATAACTAATAAATCCCTATTAAGATTATTATTAATGCTATTTAATGAAATACAAATTTATTTGTAAGACAAGCTAAATGAAATTCAGTTGTAGAAAGGAGATGATTGAAGTAGGAGATCAGCTGAAGGAGTAAAAAAACAGTATCATTTTGTTTACTGGAGTCACTGAGTAGCATTGTATATTCCATTCAGAGTTCAAAATCATTGTCCTGCACTTGTCATTGGTTGTGTCCGCAAAGCTTCTCACGTGCACAGGCAGGAACTTAGAGCTGGTAAAAACCAAAGAGATGTATAAATGGGAAGACTAATTTCTGAGAAGAAATGCATATGGTGACTAGAGACAGAGCTAGTCCTGGAGCTATCACAGGACCATTTTTACTTCTGTGTATCACTGTATCTCTCAATGCATGAACTAGTTAACAAAAGAAAATCTACCCCGTAAGAGAAGATACACCCATCTTGATCTTAGCTCTGGGTTGGGTGAAGGTGGGGAGGAAGGAGAGAAGGGGAAAGAAAGGGAAGGGGAGGGAGAGAGTGAGGAGGAAAGGGGGTGGGGGGAGGACGGGTAGAAAGACATCTTTCCTGAGAAATCCTCAACATAAAGCTAAAAATCATGCAGATAGAGTGCCAGAATTCATGTTAGCTGGGATCTAAATAATTCTTGGATAGAAATGTAATTGAAAATGAGTCTACATTAGCTGAGCACCGGTGGCTCACACCTGTAATCCTAGCTACTAAGGAGTCTGAGATCTGAGGATCACAGTTCAAAGCCCATCTGGGCAGTTAAGTCTGTGAGACTCTTTATCTCAAAGAAACCAATAGAAAACTGGAAGTGGTGCTGTGGCTCAAGCGGTAAAGGGCTTACTTTGAGCTGAAGAGCACAGGGACAGTGCCCAAGTCCAGAGTTCAAGCCCCATGACCGACAAAAAAAAAAAGAAGAAGAAGAAAAGAAAATGAGTCTATATTGAAAATGATTTCCCCAGTGAAAATACAAATTCAGCCCATAATGGAGTCTCTTTTTTCACACAGCCCTCAAAGGATTTTTAGATTAAGTCCAAGTGAACATATATTTGCCACTTGGAATCACTAAATCCATGAGGAAGAAAACCACCTTAAAGATAACAGAAACAAAATATAGACTTGAATCCATGAATTTATTAGAATTTACCAACTTCAGTGTTTGTTTTTTTTTGTTTGTTTGTTTTTATTTTGCCAGTCCTGATCTTGAACTCTGGGCCTAGGTGCTATTCCTGAGCTTTTGTGCCTAAGGCTAGTACTCTACCACTTGAGCCTTCAAACTTGAAAATTTTATATTTAATATGGTTGAAGAAATAAAAATGGAATAAAAATCTGATACCCAATTACCTGGACATATATCTCTCTAAAAGACTCAGAGTAATTGGAATTGAAGGCTTTAGTGGGTACATTACATGACCTATCACACATAGTTATGGAAGAAAATTGAAAGAAAAAAAAACCTGAAGAAATGTCACAGAGCAGTCCAGAGATGAAGAAATGGACAGTGTAACAAAAGAATGAAGTGATAAGATTCAAATACATCTAATAGGAAAGATTAGAAGGAGAGAGATTAGAAGAAGCAATATTCAAATAAGTAATGACTGAGACTTTTCCTGAAACTTACAATAAAACCAATCTTAAAAATCACAGAGTATATGAATTACTAATCTCCAGCTACATCGGAATGAAACTTCATTACATTAAAGACAAAAAATATTAAAAGTAGCCTAAGAGAAAACACATGTGCCTGTAAAGAATTGATCGTCGGGTTCATAAGCATCAAAGGTCTCTGCTTCTGGGAGTTGTGGAACACCTTCTATTTTACCAGTCCTCCCAAAGATAACAACTAATAAGTCATGAACAAAATATAAAACGAAACAAAACAAAACAAAAATTATCTGAAAGCACTGCCTAGGAAAAGGGTTGACATTTGGAAGAGGAAATGCTGTGGAGTTTTCTGAATTTATACCCAGCTTGAAGACAGGGACTGAGTTGCAGTTTTCAGATTGGCTAAAATTTGGAGAGAAATCTTTCAGTATTTTCACTTCGAAAGACTGTAGAGCACGGAGTTTGAAGCGACCCTAGAAAGGGAGGAAGGAAATGTTTACAAAGGAAGAAGTTGGAGTGGGGCAGCCTCAAGTTCTATGTCTTAAATTCTAAGTCTCTGGTGAAGACTAAGCAGTTGAGGCCAAGCTAGAACGAATCAGGGATTGCCAGCTCTCTTACCACAAGAAGCAGCCAGCAACTGGAGACCAACCAGGTTAATGCGCGTATTTAAAAAAAAGAAGAAGAAAATGCTCATTTAAATCATCCCAGATATGATCCAAAATAATTCAGTATACAAAGAAATTGGAAGACATGAACTATACTCAAAAAAGAGGGGAAAAAAAACATGAGAAGAGATCTACTCTGAAATATCTCAAGTAATACAATTACAGGAACACATTTTAAAAATTGTTGACTTACTTTTACTGTCTTTAGCAGTTGTACGAAGGGGTTTTAGTTTAACAAGTCAGTTTGCACACAATGCCTTTTAATCAGGGTCACCATTTCTCCCTCTCCTACCCATCCACTCAAAGGAACACATTTTAAAGGCAACTATTAGAATTATTCTCAGGACCCAAAAGAGAATAGGTATGTAAATAAGTACATAGAAACCTCAGCAGAAAAATAGGAAGTAGAAAAAAGAACTGAGTGAAGATTCTAGAACAGGAAACTACAATATCCTATATAGTAAGAATAGTATGTGAGAGATTTTGACAGACTATGGCTATCAATTTAGAATTATAACTCACCTAAATAATGACATTTCTAGCCAGACAAACACAGAAAAAGTTTTACTTCTAACTGTCCTATCTCACTTCATAAGATGTACTTTAGGAAGAATATATCATATCTCGTGTGTGTGTGTGTGTGTGTGTGTGTGTGTGTGTGTGTGTGTGTGTGTGTGTTACATTCATAGTAAATCATTGAAGAATAAGTGGAGTTAGTCAGATTCCCTTCCCTTAACTTCTGGGGAGTGGGGCTTGCTAGGGTACCTCTCAAGGACTTCAGTTGTATCAGCATATTTGTGTAACCTTGAGTCACGTATATCGGTAGCCTTGAGGCCAGATTTGGCCAGATGCCACTTTTGAATAGTGGGAGAGTAACACACACCACTGTCTGACAGTGTACAGTGTCTGTGAGTCTGTGCTGGGTCTGTTGACAAAGCAGTCTGTGAAAACAGTGTGACCACCCTTCCTCCTGTGAATCAGAGCATCACTAGCATTACAATTATTTTTAAAAAATATCTTTGCCCATGGTAGTAATTAAACAATGTTATATGAAGAAAGAAAGTGACCTTAGAGAAATAGGAAGCATACATTCAAAGATAAGAGCGTACCAGGAAGAAACTTACCTGTGGTTGTAAATAGGAAGCATCTAGCAGGACATAGGATCAGTAAGTGTAGGTGGAAGAGAAGGGGAGAAGGCCTATGACAATGATAAGGAAGAAGAAGGACCCCATCCAGGTTGTGGGGATCACAGAGGAGAAGGTAGTTCTTTCCCCATCAGATATACGCACTGAAGAGAGAAATGGCTTCCATTGAAGAGAGAAACGGTTCCCAAAGGGATGTTTCAAAATGCAACAGTCTCGGCTGTATAGGAACAGTATAATAGTTCAAATCTCCAGCCTTTCCAGATCATGGGGTCCACAGCCAGAAAAGTTCTTTGCCTCTCTCCCTTCCTTCCCTTTTATCTGAGCTAAGATGACCCAGGAATACCATACATAGACTGATAATGCAGGTGATTCAGGAACATTTGCTAATCCATAAGACAGACTCTGTATTCTGTCTTTGCTCAGGATCTTATACATGGTCATTTCTTGTATAGTGTGCATTTGCTTTGTTATTTTTTATAAATATTAGTATATCTTCTTTGGTTTTCTTCATTTTCTCAGTTCCCACCAGCAGCTACAAGATGGTTTTTTTTTATTAGCATAGAAAATGCAACATTTTTTTTCTCTTATGCAAAGCTCTGTAGGAAAAAAAAGGGTAATGGATTTTTTTTCCTATTTTTTCTTGAACAAAAGGTTTTCCATTTGGCATATTTTTGAAAGCAGAGTTTGGAAAGCATTACAAAATAGAGTCTATATCCAATCCATATTGTTTATTTTGCATGTTTTCCCAGTGTCTTGGGAAGGAGAATCACATTTTCATTTCAGTTTTCTCTGATAGTATAAAATTGTCTTGATAGTAAATATTGAAAGTTTCTGGATCATATTTTCTTGCTCATCCACCTCCCTGCCCGCTGGAGGTCTAGTGGCAGTAAAATGAATGAAAGAATGAATTAAAGCGAAATGAATTATTTTCTACTTATCTGACATATACTATGATTCATTCTGTATAAAATTGCCAGTGGATACTTCCAAGACTGTGCTACTTAGGAGTTTTATAGAGCTGAGTCAGCTGAACAGAATTAATGATTGATTTCTAAAAGCTTCCCTTAAGTAAACTTAATCTATTTTTGCTTTTTTATATTCTAGGTGCCCAAACCAGTAGATTATTCTTGCCAACCCTGGTAAGTATTAAAAATGTTTATGTAGCTAAGTTGAAATACCATACCCTTTGCTTGAGGATTCCTTAAATGTAGAGGTTGTAAACCACGTTCCATTTTCATTCATCCTGGCTAAAGGTGCTTGCACATGTAACAAAACACTATAATGAATTCATGTATTGCTGACATTTTCATATCTTTCTCAGAGTGGTTTGTGTGTATGTGTGCATTAGTGAGTACACAGGTCTCTAGATTAAAAGGTTGTAACAGCCCAGCCTCAGAAAGAAGTAAGATACAGTTTGAATGAGCTCCAAAGAATAATGTAAAATTACAATTTGTAGCATCAAATACAAAAGCAGTGACATATATATTCCTGTGTGTCCTGAGTCTATATAAGTCTGCTTGGAGGCCGGAAGTAGAACAGAGTTAAGTGATGTAAGCAACAGATCTCTTCAACATCACGTGTTTCTTTTCCTTTTATTTCTCAACATTCATATAAGGAAAACTGCTATTATTATCATGGATGAAGAAAAAAGGTGAAGGCCATGCAACCTGTGAGTGGTTAGCACCAGGATTCCAAGTTGTGCCGTCCATACATTACTAATTGACCTCAAAATACAAAATCAGAGCCTATCGTGCCTTTATATTTGTTTCCCTAGATTGTATTTGACTCCTCTGAAAAATGACCGTGTCTGTTTTCTTCTCCCTGATATTTAAGTATACGTCTACCAAGGAGAGATCAGGATACATATATAAATGAAATCTCCTGGAGACATGGAGAACTAATTTAGGTTGCAAACTTGTCTGATGGGTTTTAGGTACAACTCTGTGTGTGTGTGTGTGTGTGTGTGTGTGTGTGTGTGTGTGTGTGTGTGTGTGTGTGTGTGTGTGTGTGTGTGTGTCTGTGTGTGTGTCTGTGTGTGTGTCTGTGTGTGTCTGTGTGTCTGTGGCATCTGTGGCATCTGTGTCCATGTCAGTGTCTTGAAATCAAGCTTGGGCTTGAAATCAGGGCCTGGGCTCTGTCCTTGAGCTTTTTATGCTCAAGTCTAGTGCTCTACAACTTGAGCCACAGCTCCACTTCTGGCTTTTTGCTGGTTAATTGGAGATAAGAATCTTATAGATTTTTCTGCCAGGGGCTGGCTTTGAATTACAACCCTCAGATCTCAGCCTCCTGACTAGCTAGGATTATAGGCCTGAGCCGGTAATTGGCGCCTAGCTGATCTTTGCTGCATTTTAACCCAACATAGGACAATTTCAAGATCTTCATTTCTGTGGCATTCAAAACCACAGTCCTGACTAGAATTGAATTTGAACCAATAGAATGGACAGTCAAACAGCAGCTGACAACCCTCATCACAGTAGAATAGTTGGGTCCTTTTCTTTCCTCTATCCATTTTTTATGTACTTAGATTTTATAGTTCCAAGGAAAATGATTCTATAGATAAATACTAACACCACCACCTAGATGGATTTTTGAGGCATAAACTGATCAGATACCTAGGAACCACTCAGGACACAGGTAGCTTGTATGCCCATTGTTTTAAAATGCACCCTGCCAGTATGCCCAATTCTATTGAAAATATGAAGAATTAAGGTAGTATTAATCCTAGGGGGGAAAATCAGGATGTCAGTAAAAAATGAAGATCCTTAATAATAATGTTATAAAGATACTTCAGAGTAGAATTTTAAAATTACAGTCCCCCCCCCCCCCCCCCTTGAGTATCCTGGACAGTGATTCAAATTAAGCAGGCAGTTTCATGTGAAATAACCTTCTGCTAGGGAGTGAAATGACCCACTACACCAGAAACTGGAACCTTCAATTGGAGAAATACTGAACTGTTCAGAGAAAATTATATTGGTAGTATGGCCATTCTAAAGCCACTGAGAAGCAGAGCATCAACAATTATCTTATGTATTCATTTTTCTCCCACATTGAAAAATGGGCTGTTCTTATAAGATAAAATAGTCTCTCATATAGACCATAAAATAAAATAGAAAATTCAGATGATTATCTTCAGTAAGCTAGGTTTTAATGAACATCTGTATATAGAAGAGTTGATAAACACCACAAACTCTACCCCATCTCTAAGGCCGTTCACTCTGACCAGGCTTGTGGGGGGAGGACACATGGGAAGAGCAGGTCTGGCTGAGGTTAGCATTGCCTGGGGTTAGCCTAGGTTTCAGTCTAGGATACTGGAAACAGGGCTTAGATCAAGGAAAATGGAGCCAGTTGCCTGAGGTTGAGAGCTGGGGATCACAGTCCAAAGCCAGTATGGGCATAAAAGTCCATGATACTCTTTTTTTTCTTTTTCTTTTTCTTTTGTCAGTTGTGGGGCTTGAACTCAGGGCCTGGGTATTATCCCTAACCCTTTTTACGCTCAAGGCTAGTGCTCTCCCACTTTGAGCCATGACTCTACTTCTGGTTTTCTGGTGGTAAATTGGGAGATATGAGTGTCATGGATTTTCCTGCCCAGGCTGGCTTCAAACCATGATCCTTAGATCTAAGCCTACTAAGTAGCTAGGATTACAGCATCCATCCCTGTGAGCCTCTTATCTCCAGTTAAGCAACATAAAGCTGAACATGGAACCATGACTCAAGTAGTAGAGCACGAGGCTTGAGCAAAAAAGCTCTGAGGTACTGATAGCACTGAGGCACTGAGTTCAAGCCTAGGATCAATACACAAACAGTCTCTCTCTCTCTCTCTCTCTTTCTCTCTCTCTCTCTCTCTCTTTCTCTTTCTCTCTCTCTTCCTCTCTCTCTCTCCACACACACACACACACACACACACATACACACACACACACACACACACACACACACACACTAAGGAAAGCTGTACGCCGAATAATGACAAATTCAGACGATTTTGTATAGTACAGATCCACCACCATGGCACAATACTCTTATATCCAGTCAGCAATTTGAAGGATTTTTCTCAAAAGAAACTGAATAAGCTCAGAGTAAAACCAAAACACTAACAACAACAAAACCCCTAAAATCCTAACATTTGGATGTTACCCAGCTTAATCATCAGATTTTCTTGCCAAATCTGCAGGCTCCTGCCCAGTGGGGCTTACATTTGGACTGTACACACTGTTCCTTCTGCCAGTTCTTGGAAGTCTGTGTCTTAAACGTAAGCAAATATTAAAGAGGAACTAGACATTTGAGGAAAGCCTTCAACTATAGAACAAATATAAAAAAGAAATCAGAAGAAAGTATGCATAGAGTAAACAGAAGAATATTTTTAAGACCTTCTGCTTACATCTTCAAAATGAAGAGGAAACATCACATTTGTAAGAGAGAAAAAGAATAAGAAAGAGCTCTTACGAATAAAAACTATAGAAATTTGAAAAAGAAAGTTGAGGAAATCTTCTGCAAAGTCAAACAGATAACAAATAATATAATGAATGGGATGTTAGTGGCTTTCCCTCATAGCCCTTGCTACTCAGGAGGCTGAGATCTGAAGATCACAGTTTTCTAAGCCAGCCCATACAGGAAAGTCTATGAGACACTTACCTCCAATTAACTCCCCCTCCCCCCCAGACTAGAAGTAGAGCTGTACCTCAAGTGGTAGAGTGCTAGCGTTGAACATAAAAGTTCATGGACAGTGCCCTGACCCTGAGTTCAAGATCCAAGACCAGCACCAAAATATATGAATGCAGATAGGAAAATTCCATCATTTGCCTGGGAAGCACAGCTTTCAACTAGTAAAATTTCTAGGAAAGGAAAACTAAGGGAATCAAGTTCAAAAAAAACAAAATTTCTAAGAACTGAAGAACATGTGTTGTCAGATTGTGCAGATATAACTGAAAGCTCAGGAGACTATAGGAAAAACCATTATCACAAAAACTTCAGTATAAAAAGTACAGAAAGAATATGAATCATGAAAAATTTGAAGAGAGACAATACGGACACTGAAAGTCTCCGAGAAATCAAAAGTTGAGTCATATGCAATGACTTGAATTCAGAGTGGTATTAAAAGGATATTAGAAGAAATATTTGGAAAACAAAACAAATTCTCACTTAGAATTCTTTCAGAGGGGCTGGGAAGGTGGCTCAGTGGTAGAGCGCTTGCCTTGCATGCATGAGGCCCTGGGTTCGATTCCTCAGCACCACACAAGCAAAAAGAAAAAAAAGCCGGAAGTGGCGCTGTGGCTCAAGTGGTAGAGTGCTCGCCTTGAGCTGAAGAGCTGAGGGACAGTGCCCAGGCCCAGAGTTCAGGCCCCACAACCTGACCCCCCCCCCCCAAAAAAAAAAAAAAACAATTCTTTCAGAGTAGTTTCCCCATTTACAGGAAACCTAATAAGAAAGAGATTCTTAGTAGTCTTAGTGGTCAGGCAGTTAGACCTAGAGAATGGGTTATTCCAAAGAAATATCTTCAAAATCAAGAATTAACAGAGTATATAATGTTGAAAATATAATGTTTGGGATTTTATTTGAGGAGACAAAAGGACTTGAGCAAACAAAAAAGAAACCATTGTTTTTTTCAAGGTCAAATGTATTCTTTTAATATCTGTTGGCTAAAATTGGGCCAGATGGTACTTGAGTTTGTAAATGTTACATGAAGAATGAAGAGCCACTTATAAAAATGTGTTCAGTACGTACTAATTGTGATCATTGGGCTGACAATGGGGATATTATCATGGGAATAGAAGAATGAAGGGTACAAGACTCAAGACTGTCTTTGCTTTGCTTTGCTTTTCTTGTCCTGGGACTTGAACTGAGGTCCTGAGCACTATCCCTGAGCCTCTTTGTGTTTAAGGATAGTGCTCTACCACTTGAGCCACAGTGTCACTTCTGGCTTTTTCTGAGTAGTTTATTGGAGATAAGATTTTCATGGACTTTTCTGCCCTGGCTGGCTTTGAACTGTGATCCTCAGATCTCAGCCTCCTGAGTAGCTAGGATTACAGGTGTGCACCACCAACTGCCAGCTAAGACAACTTTCTTTTTAAAAAAAATAATATTTTATTTTATTGTAAAGGTAATGTACAGAAGGGTTATAAATACATAAGTAATATAATGAGTACATTTTTTTTGCCAGTCCTGGTGCTTGAACTCAAGGGCCTGGCTGTCCCTGAGCTTTTTTTGTTCGAAGCTAGCATTCCACTACTTGAGCCACAGCACCACTTCCAGCTTTTTCTGTTTTTTTTTTTTTTTTGGTACTGACAAATCCAGGGCTTCATGCATGCTAGGCAAGCACTCTACCACTAAGTCACATTCCCAGCCTCAAGACAACTTTCTTAAGAGAATGGTGATGAAGATCGCTAAATGTGAATGACGAGAAGGAACTGAATTGATAGAGGGAATGTCTCTTGACAGTAAGCAGTACAGTCTGTGAGCGCTCAGTAGGAGCTTGATGAATTCCTCTATGAGAATATTGGAGATCAGAGACAAAGGGGGGTTGTTATAAAGGGATATGGTTGAAGAAATAGGCATGATGCAGCTCTTCCCACATCCTAATAGCCATGGTATTGGAGACTAGAATTGGGGCTTCACAATTACTCGGCAAACAATCTACCACTTGAACCACACACATAGCCCTGTTTTGCTTTTAGTTTGGTTTTTCAGATAAGGTTTTGTGCTTTTGCTTGGGCCAGCCTCAGATCATGTTCCCCCCTATTTCTGCTTTCTAAGCAGTTAGGATTACAGGCATGAACCACTGTTCCTGGCTTGTTTATTGAAATAGAGTTTTGCTAACATTTTGCTTAGGGTTGGCCTCAAATACCCCTGTCCTCCTATCTCTGCCTCCTGAGTAGCTGGGGCATAAATGTTCTTTTATCCCACACTACCCTAAGCATTAAAATGCTTTTAGCTTCTCTTTTTCATTTCATGGAAGCTAACATGTCTTCCTTCAGCAAACATTTGCTAACTGCTGAATGTGTGCATTTATAAATTTTAGTCTAGACTAGAGGTGGATGGTTATAGTGAGTTACATGTGTCTACATGAGAAAGATGATATTCTGAAATATGAATTCATGAGTAACTTTGAAAGAGAACAAATCTAGACAATATTTTTTTTCTCTAAGCTGTTTTCCCCAAATCTCTGGTTTCTTTGGCCAGTAAATTTACTGTGTAGTGAGAGACCATTCAAGAATGACTTAACATTGTATTTGAGCCTTTTATTGATAGTTACTGTTATTATGGAATTTGAGTGTGATTAAGATCCACAGAGTCCAGGAAAACTTTGAATTCTGACTTAAGAAATTATTCACCTTTAAAAAAAATGTATTCTGGTGGCTCACACCTATAATCATAACCACTCAGGAGGCTGAGATGTAAAAATCGTGATTTAAAGCCAGTGGGGGCAGGAAAGCCTGTGAGACTCTTATCTCCAATAAGCTACTCAAAAAAGCCAGAAGTAGTGCTGTGGCTCAAGTGGTTGAGCTCTCACCTTGAGCAAAAGAAGCTCAGGGACAATGCCCAGGCCCAGAGTTCAAGCCCCAGGACATGCCAAAATGAAAATTACCTCTGTTAGTGTCTTTAGAAAATCAGTTATCAAAATTGTAGATTAAAAGAATTAACTTATATCCAAACAGTAGTTGGATAGTGACTAAAAAATAATTGAAATGTTTCCTAGAATTTTTCTAAAAAAGATGTTCCAAAGACATTTCATAGTATACATAGAGAAAAGGGAACTTCATGTATGTGTTTTACATAGAAAAATTGTGAGATTTTTTGAGGGGGTTGAGAGTGTGTGTATGTGTGCGCAGATTGTGTATGTGTGTCTGTCTGTCTGTCTCTCTCTCTGTCTGTCTAATGTGTTAGGCAGCGCAGTTCTTCCTGCAGGTGTTTTTTTCCTCGTTAGTACTCTCTCCTACAACTGTCTTACCTGTCTTTCTGATCTAGCACCTATTAACTCCTCTCTTCGTTCTGTTTGTTTATTTGGTAAATATTTGCTGGGTGTTTGCTGTGCATTAGGCACTGTTCATTTAGCTGTGGATAGCTTTGGAGAGCATTTTTGTTTGGACATATAAAAAGATATTTTCTTTCGGAATCTAATCTTTTAAGCAATTTAATTAGAGGATATACTAATAAAAACAGCTCAGGGCAGGCCGCCACTAAATTAAAATTGTGACAGATACTTATTTTTAGCCTCCATTCTCTTCCAGGTACATTAATCTAGATTTTCTGTGCTGTTGTCTCTTACAGGTATGCTGGAGCAATGGAAAGATTGCAGGCAGAGACTGAACTTATTAATAGGGTAAATAGTACTTACCTTGTGAGACACAGGACCAAAGAGTCAGGAGAATATGCAATTAGCATTAAGTAAGTAGGACAAGTACTTTTACAGAAATAGACTTTCTGTTTTCATAATTGCATCGACCATCTGACATGTATAACACTGAAGTTGAAAACCAAGGTTCTAATTGCAGCAAGAATAATGCATCTATCCAGACAGTTCATTAATACTTGAAAATATCTGGTAGAAAAAACAATAATAAGTGTTATAGGCTGCTAATTGGCACATTAGATATCTTTCATAACATTGAATTTTGTGGATTTGATGTGTGTATAGTTCTAGCAAATTCTAAGAGTATAAAATAATAGATTTTTGTCTTTTTTCTGCATTTTCAAACTTTACCTATTAAGTAAATTAAGCATCATGACTAGTAAAAATCCAATCCCCCTCTCACTTCAAATATTGGTTGTATCTTCAACTAATAAATATATTTTGTTAATTAGCTGTCACTGTTGTATTGGCATAAATATATATTTTGTCTTCAGAATTAATTCCTATGATGTTATTGGGGCATGCCCTCTGGTAATTATTGATTTCTACTGATTAAAAACACATTTATATTCATAAGTTATTCACTGCCCACAGGTACAATAATGAAGCAAAGCACATCAAGATTTTAACAAGAGATGGCTTTTTTCACATTGCAGAAAATAGAAAATTTAAAAGTTTAATGGTAAGCATTGATTATTTTCAGTCTATGATACCTAGGTTGTTGGCTGTTAGAAATACCATTTTAATTCTAGAGTTCCTTGGAAATTTTGCCCACTGAAAAGTTATTTAAAGAGAAACATAATTTTGTAGCGGAATCATCAAAATTCTTACTTTAAGAAATCTAGTTGTGTTTTAGTTGGCTCAATTCAGATTTTTCATTATATACTAAATTGGTAACTTTGAGATAATATTTTATCTATATTATTTGTGATTCTTAGACCGGTGACAAATTGAAATATCAACTTTCAGTTATATATGTGGGTTTTGGCTTATGTTTTTGAATGGTATGTGGAAAATACTTTATTATCCTTCTTTTTCTACTTTCTCTTTATTCACTCATAGGAAGGTACAAGCTATGATATAATGTTATAACTAATAAAATGCCTCTCACATTTAATTTCATACAGATTATGATACAAAGTCAAATTGAAAAGTGTTTTAAATGATTTTCATTTATTACCTTGGATAATTAAACATGAATAAGACAATTTTTTTTATCACACACAGCAGTTGACAGTTCATAGGAATTTGTGTGTGTGTATTTGTGTGTGTGTGTGTGTGATGATGTGTGTATGTATGTATGCCGGTACTAGGGTTTGGACTCATGTTCTCACACTCTTGCTCTGGATTTTTCTCTCAGGGGCTCTACTCCCTGAACCATACTTCAACTTTCACCATTTTGGCAATTAATTGGCAATAAGAAGCTCATGGACTTTTCTATATGTTGACATATTATGAGGATAAGTTCCACAGTTCCACAGTAATACAATTTAATAATTGTATTATTGCATAACAATACTATAGATATGTCATATAAACAGTATATATATAATTGTGTATTGGTAAGAGTAGAAATTTTCCTATTTTCTTAAAATGTTTCCCAATCTGCTTTCCAAGTGTATTTTCTTGAGGTAATGTGGAATTTGGATATATGACACACAAAGATGCATATTGTATCTGCTAAGCACTTTGAGTGACATTGAAAAGGACCATTCATTGATTGGGCTGTCAGTCAAATGATGCACACTGCATTGTGCTGAAGCACATCAGAAATCACATCACAGATGTCACCGTGGAAGTTTAAACTGAGTAAGAGACCATTACAAAATAGGCCAGCTTGAATGCTTGAAACTTTAGAACTGCTTCAAGAGAGAGATCCGGGTGTGAAAGAAATGAAAGCATTGTGAACTAAAAGAAAAGGAAATTAATCTCTCTGGTCATAAATAACCTCAATTTCAAATTCAAAAGTTAAGGATAGACAGCATGTGCCATGTCCTGGAAAAATGTACACTCTGTCAAATTGGTTCTTAAGATCCAGGCATCCTCTTTTCAGCTGGAGATAACTTCGGTTCCCTGTGCAGAAGGATCGAGACCAAAGGAGGTTCTTCTGGAAATGAAAATCTGGGAAGGAGGTGGCAAGTGGGTACACAGATAATGAGTGACAGTCACAGTTGAGACAAGACGAAAGCATGCACAGAGGTGCTGCTTCATATCTCTGCAAGACATTTCAGTTGAGCTATCACCTGCAGAACCTTCTTGGGCAGTAATGAGGCTGCTCCACAGTATTAGAGTTAATATGCCACTTAAAAAAAGTGCTTCAGGGCCAAAGATGACTGCCAGCTTTCTAGACTTTGAAAGTAGCAAAAGTAACTCCCATCAGAAAAGGCCAAGCAAAGAGGATGAAAGGGATGGCCACTGGAAAGGGCTGATCGATTCAGCGTTGTGTCACCTTGGATTAGCTCAGGGAAGTTCTTCGGCAGTGAAGGTTGGATGCAAAAAGTCAGTAGCACCACTGTGACCTAGACTGGAGACATGGATCCTTGAGTTCCTACCTGCATGTACAGCTGTAAGAGTAAAAGCAGCAGAGACCCCAATTCAAACCATTTGCACTGGAGAGCATTGGAGATCTGGAAAGAGAGTGAGAATCACTGGTCTCAGGGGTCAAATAAGCTCCATTTAACTGGGCATACGTGAGGTCTCAGAAATGCCCCTACTAGAGATATTTGTAGAGGATCTTTTGTAGAGAAGCACATATCAGAGTGGATTCAAGGGAGGTGATTAAATGGCAAAAAGTTTGGAGGGAAAAATGATTAATGGCAACACTGCTGTGAAACTAAAATGAAAATGTAAGCACAAAAATAATTGAAAAAAAGGAAGGAAGGAAGGAAGGAAGGAAGGAAGGAAGGAAGGAAGGAAGGAAGGAAGGAAAGAAGGAAAGAAAGAAGGAAGGACAAACAAGAAGCTATGAAAACCCTCAGTACCAGTAAAGTCTTTGTGTTCTGTTTAGCAGATAACTAGGAAGACTGATGAAGAGGCCACTGAACCAATATGCTATTCTTTCTTTTCCTCTTTCTGTTCATTTGTTGAGCAAATTTATGCTGGCTTGTATAAGCTTACACGTGAGTAAATCTATGTGTGCTGAGAACTGTACAGTATAGTACTATCCCTTGGAGCTAAGCTGGGAAATACCATGCCACGTGGACATTTGATCAGGAGTGCCTCATAACCAGCCCCTTTGGAAGCCAAGGGAAAGTTAGGATGAGTAGGGCTTCTTCAAATCAGCTTGTGCAACCTTTAGGAGATAGCATTTATCATGACAACATCGAATCAACCGTTTCCACTGCATACTAAGTGGCGGTATCTCTATTTGACTTACTTTCTACAAATAGTTCCGTATCCCATGATCATTAGTTGAACTTTCTCTCCTTCTTCTACTTGGGAATGACAGTAGTGTCTTGGGGTAAAATTTTATCTGGAAAGAGTATAAACTCCACGCCAAGTCTGAAGCTGATTTTAAAATTAGCCAAGTTTCTGCAAAAGAACATTGGCCTCAGGTACTTGGGACCAAACCTTGTTCCTCTTGGGATTCAATAGCTTGGTTAATCAGAATCTTTGTTTTTCTTAGTCATTAAATGCAAATCCTAAATGAATTTCTGATTCCAGATTACAAGGAATTAGTTTTGTTCTCATTTCCATGTGTGCCACAAAACCCGTGTCCAAATGCCCCCTGTAAGCCGTCTCCATTACCTGTTTCCTTGGTAATTGCACTGACTGGCTGGGCACTCATTATTTTTCAGAGACTTGAATTGTTGACACTACAGTGTCAGCATGAGATAAGGAGAGCTGAGTGATTTCCTTTGTTTAGAGTCCTCCTGTTTCCTTGTTGTACCTGAAGGTCAATGACTATTGAAGCAGGGGGTGGATTAGCCTGAAATACTGAAAGCATAAAGCTATAAATTGGAAAGAAACCATGGTGGTCCTACTTAATTCTATTCAGAAACAAGTTAGGAAGACTTACCCTTGTTAATACTGGAGGGGAAAAAAATGGAACTAAAATACTTTTCCTGTTTAGTGAAGTGTTAAAGAATATTTGGCAGTTTAATAAGCTGCATAACCCTATGCCTTGGGAAAGACATTTTTAGGTGTATAACAAATCTGGGGGAGGCCCAAGCACCAGTGGACCTGTCATCCTAGCTGAGGAGGCTAAGATGTGAGGATTGCAGTTAGAAGCAAACCTGGACAGTATGGAAGATTCTTATCTCTAATTAGCCACCAAAAACTAGAAGCAGACCTGTAGCTCAAATGGGAGAATGCCAACCTTGAGCAAAAATGTTAACAGACCATGCCCAGGCCCTATGTTCAAACCCCAAGACTGACATAAAGAAAACAATTGGAGATGTCAAACCCCAGGACTGACACAAAGGAAAAACAGTTGGGGCGGGGGAATGGATATTAAAGGATCATCAAATCCCCTTTTCACTATAATAATTCTGTTGTTTCCAGACAACTTCACAAGATAATTATAATTCATAACAAAATTCACAAAGTTTGTATTAACTCTAATATAATCCAGCTAAAATTCAAAGCTGTTATTGGCCTCTAATTCCTTTCAGGTTTATTTTCATATTGCAAAAAAATAATACATTTTACTTAGTTTAAATGTCAAAAATGAAAAGAACAACTCTTAGGTAGCATTTGTATCAGCAACACAATGTATTTACATACATAGTTCTTCTATCATCCCTAATTTATTTTTGCTTTGTCTTAAACAGAAAACATTAATGGTAACAAATACAGGGTAGAATTTAACTCCTAACCAAATCTTTGCAGCTATGTTAAAATTGCCATAACAAAATGCCATATTCTGATGGTTAAAGCCATTTGTTCCATACAAACTTTTTTCTGGCATTTTGTTTCTTTTTCTCTTTGTTTTAAACATTCCTTTCGTCTAAGAATCTTATAACCTAGGCCCAAAGAAGAAATCAAGGAAGATATGTTTTTAAAGGAAGTTATAATATGTATAGTAAGCAGATTAAGTCTTAAGGCCAAGAAGTTCTTAGCAAATCATAGACACTTAGTAAGCAAATAATACTTTTCTTTGCCTCCTTTTTTTTTTTTTTTTGTCAGTAGTGGGGCTTGAACTCTGGGCCCGAGCGCTTTCCCTCAGCTCTTCAGCTCAAGGCTAGCACTCTACCACTTGAGCTACAGCACCACTTCCGGTTTTCTGGTGGTTTATTGGAGATAAGAGTTCCATGGACTTTCTTGCCGGGCTGGCTTTGAACCGTTATCCCCAGATCTCAGCCTCCTGAGTAGCTAGGATTATAGGCATGAGCCACCTGCTGCCTCCTTTTTTTTAAAAAAATATGTTTATATTTGAGAGTTACTATGTGCTGCTCAATTGGTATAGTGAAAATCAGTGCTTTTGGAGACAGACCCCACTAGTGGGACTTCATGTAGTCAGTCACTCAGCCTCACTGAGATCCAAATGTTAGTGGGGATGAGACCAAGCCCATGAGGTTCTTGAATTGAGATTGTGAAAACCAATGGAAGGGCTGATTACTGTGGATTATGGTGGCTGCCTCGATTACTCATATGCATTGGACACTGTCTATGCTGTTCTTTTGTGTATGTATGTGTGTGCCTGTTCTGGGGTTTGGAGTCAGGGCCTTGCCTAGTTGCTTGGCTTTTTCTGCTAAAGACTGATCTCTAACCACTTAAACCATACCTCTACTTTTGGCTTGTTTTTTTCCTAGTTATTTGAAGGTAAGAGCATTTCAGAGTTGTCTGTCCCAGCTGACTTTGAATCTTGATCCTCAGATCTCAGCCTCCTGAGTAGCTAGGATTACAGGGGTGAACCACTTGTACCCCCTCTGTGTGTTCTTTATCATAGTCTGTGAGACAGTTATTCCCATTTTAGAGGGGTAGAAATTGAAGAAGTCTCTATGTACTTTATTTGGGGATTTAGGCAAACCAGCCTGTTTTGAGTCTATGAAGGTGAGCTGGGTTTTGTTGTTGTTGGGTTTGTTTTTACTTTATCACCTCTGTGTCTGTCTTAGCCTAATATCCTTCCTTCATCCCTGGCTTTTGAAATTTTACCTAATCTTCAGTTTAAGCCAAGCTTGTCTCCCATCCGGAAATTTACTCTCCCCCTCTCCCTTAAACACACCAAAGGAAGTCGTCTCTCATGCCTTTGGGCTTGCCTTCTAAAATGTTAGAACTTCTACAGAACTTCTACAGAAACCTCTTCATACTGTTTGTGACCCTTGTCTCTCTCAGTACAATGTAGTCCACAATGTATCTGAATTTAGTTATAAATAATGAATCATGGATGATTCTCTTTTCCTTCTTTTGGGTGATTTTTTTTTCCCCATTGATTTGCCTTAGGAATTTTGAACATAAACACTCAATGGAAGTCTTGAGTTGTTTGCCTGTTATTTCTATTTTAAATAAATGAGTTGCTTTTCCACTATCTATTTAAAAGGTGCCATAATAGAAAAACTGAATAATTAGGTGAAAAATGATTTTGCTTCTATTTTCATTTCGATTATTTATAAGAAACTTGATTAGTACTCCTCTATAAGAAGATCCATTTGCTCCTTATGAATTATTATTTAGTTTTAGTTCACATTACAGGGGTTCAGATTTCTGCAGAATTTGGAATAAATAGGTGAATAAAAATTTTCCTCAAATTTGAGTTTACAAGTAGATGGTAGGGCGCTTATGACATTAAATTTGGAAGTATTGAAGCAAATTTGTTTATAAGCAAATCTTGGAAAGAACCCCATTCCTGATCCCTGTAAGTAGCAGGTGATAGGCAGAATGCTATCTTCTTCTTCTTCTTCTTCTTCCTTCTTCTTCCTTCTTCTTCTTCCTTCTTCTTCCTCCTTCCTCCTTCCTCCTTCTTCCTTCTTCCTTCTTCTTCTTCTTCTTCTTCATTCCAACTGTGCTTTATCAACTTTTGTTTACCATGGAGAATCACATTCAGTGTCATTTGGTATTCTGCCACATTGAACGAAAATGGAGGAAAATAGAAATTGCTATATATTAAGCAACCAGCTGTTCCTTTTATTTAAAATTTTTTGTTCAGAAAGCAAGTATTTCACACACAACAATAATAATTACTACTCTGAAATCGAGGCTTAGTATGGCTTCTTTTCATTTGCCACATTTGACTGAAAACTAATAAGATGTTCTGTATTGATGAAGAACATTAGAGAGTAACTCTCATGTTAGAAATGTCCCAAGTCCCAAGGACAACTGCCAGGTAGGTATTATGTACAGCCAGAAAGTGAGAAGAGATGATCATTTACGTATACTCAAGTCTGGAAAGTTGAGCATTGAATCGATCATCCTTATTTCATATGTAATTATGCCTTGAGAAGTTCATGTGTTGGGCCACACAAGTATCATTATCGAAAATTATCTTTGATTCTTTTTATTTTTCTAAAGGAACTTGTGGAGTACTACAAGCATCACTCTCTTAAAGAAGGTTTCAGAACCTTAGATACAACGCTACAGTTTCCATATAAGGAACCAGAACAGGCAGCGGGACAGAGGGGTAATCGATCGGCCAACAGCTGTGAGTACTGTAATTGAGAAAACTTATTTTCTGTCACTTCAGGGTTGGAGGCAAAATAACATTTAACATCTTCATTTGAAACTTTGAAATGTAACCAATTAATATGCTAATGCACGGAGCCAGGACAGTTTTGTGGTGCTAAGCAGAATTAAAGGTTTATGAACAGGTTTATGAACGTGTCTATTTATAGGAATTTGTGCCAAACTTAAGAAATTATGTTTGCCTTTTCAGTATCTATCAGAAATGTAAAAGGTACCTTAATTCTCTAAATTTTACAGTGTGCAATGACTTTTATGTCAGCCAAACTCTTAAATTTGCATAATACTTTTTACATAGTAGCATTTCACAAAGCTCTCCGGTTAGCTTAGAATCTCAAGCCCACTTATGATCTTATGTCAGTGACGACTTTCAGAATTTGGGAAATGATTAACGTTTTTCTCAGATGACTAGATTTCTAAAACTGTGTATTTATTACTTCTTGTCAGAATGAGTACTCTGCCACAAGTAGAAAGAAAAACACAACAGAAAAACACAAATAAAAGTGCATCATAATTCAAGTGTGGATCCCAGTCAAAACTTTTTTTCCCCTCTCACCATTGAACTGACAGCATTTTCCTGAAAGTAGATTCAGCATGTGAACCAACCACTGATGATAAAAACATTGTGAAGAAAGTGTTGTTTCAACCCTTTGTCTTAAAGAAAGAAAGAAAGAAAGAGAACCTGTGAGACTTGGTGGCATTTGAAGAGAGAATTTGCATTAGTTTAATATAACTTTTACTTTCTTTTTTCTCTAAAAGCAGATACTAAAGGAGAAACAGGTCATGCTCAGAGTTTCAATGACATCAGCAAAATTTCATGCACTTTAATACAAGTAAATATACAAGTGACTTGTCACATCATTTTTTTTTTAAATTTGAAGAGCTCTATAGTCACTCTCCTCAGTGATCAATGAGGTAAACCCAAGGCTGTACAAAGTAGTAAGAACAAACTTTATGTTGAATATTTGAGTTGCCTTAAAATTTTATATGTCTACTATTTTTAGCCCATTATCACCCAGTTATCTAGGATTCTCATAGAGACTATGTTCTTTTTCCTCTCATTAAAAAACAGAATATTTTCTGTAAAATGTAGTGATCGTACAAACTTCTTGAAGTATTGAAGACTCCTACTTACTACGTGAAGCGTAGAAATTTTGTCTTTTTTTTCTTTACCTTATTAGCAACAGGACATAATACAAATTGCCAAGGTAGCCATTTATGCCCACAAGTTTTTTCTTGAGTTGTACACTTAGTTCTTGAGAACCCAGAGTGGAGAAGAGGGAAATACAAAAATCAGATGTAAAAGGATTAGGTAGGAAGGTCATTAACCTTCATTTCTTAAGTACCTGGATTACTCAGACAAGCATATCTTTACTGTTGAGGACATATAGGTCCTCAGAGAAGTGTGATATAGAAATGTACACTGTTACCTGATTTAATTTGTGTGTGTGTGTGTGTGTGTGTGTGTGTGTGTGTGTATGTGTGATTGTGTGTGTATATGAATAAGTACTGGGACTTGAACTCATTAGCCTTTTCTTTCAAAGCTGGAGTGAGCCATAGCTCTACTTCCATCTTTCTGTTGGTTCATTGGAGATAAGAATCTCTTAGACTTTCCTGCCCAAGCTAGCTTCAAACCACTGATTCTCCCATCTTAGCTTCCTGAGTAGCTAGGAATACAGGCTTGAGCCACTTAAAATTTTATCTCTAGTATTTTATGAATTATTTATTGTTTAAATTTGTTAGGAACTAAGAAGATAATTATAATGCCCTTTTGGAAAAGAATATAGCTAATAAACTCATTTAATATATTTTGGATGGCCACGGGTAAATTTTTCAATAGCTATGAGTTCTAGAAACTTGACTGAAATCACTATCATATATGTAACATGTACAATAAATAGAGATACAATGACAATTCCTAGATCAGTTAAAGCACTATTCCCTAGTATATGGCAGGATGATGAGATCAATCTGCCTTTATGGAACTTATATTTTAGTTGGACAATTCAGGCAACTCAGGGTTGATATGAGTGGAAGTCTCACCCATAAAGAGAACCTGAAAGAGGTGAAGGACTATTTATATTCAGTCAACAATAATTTCACAGGAATTAACTCTCCAAGATTATGTATTCATTTACATGAAGCTAAATTGTGATCTTAAATTGAATTTAGGATTCTGTCTAACTATTGTGGTTACTTTATGCTAACTTCTTGTAAAACAGGAAGAGCACTAAGATGGTCTTGAGAGTTAAATGAGGTACTGTATAGAAAACACTCAGCATAGTGTCTGTGCACTGTAAACACTCAAATGAAAGCTACTAGACCCCCTTGTGTCCCTTCTTCTTACTAACTCTTCTAACATGATGCACACACTGTACATTCTAAGGCCTAGTCACAGCTTGTGGCAATGTTCATCTTTGCTTTTATAAGTTTTAAAAATAGGCCTTACTTACTTTATATCAAATCTATTCGTTTTCTTGGAAGATCTGAAGTTTGAACCCATGCCATTGAACCATGCCTCCAAGCCTTTTTTCACAGCCAATTTTTGAGATAGGTTCTTAATATCATTATTTTTGAGGCAGGTCTCCCTGGCTAAGCACACATCTAGACTACAGTCCATCTATTGTAGACTTACAGATGCATGCATGCCTCCACTTATTGAAATGGAATCTCATAGACAATTCTGCCCAGGCTGACCTGGAACCTGACCAGCATCCTCTTTATCTCAGTTTCCCACCTAGCTAGGATAACAGAAACACCTCTCATACCTAGCTATCGGTTTAGAAGGAACCTCAAATGTGAGCAAATCCTTTGTGGCAAAAGTGGGAACAGTATATATTCAGTATAGAAAGATTATGTGTCATATCTTTATGTGCCTTACCTCTGAATCATAGCTTTTGATAGCCTCCTAAATACCATCTAAACATAACTTTCACCAAGGAGGGTGTCATGACGGGAGGCAGGTTTGGACAAAGCACTGAAATCTCATTACTTCTCTAAAGCCATAAAAAAATGCAGAGCAAGTAAGGTAAAGCCCAAAATATCCTGGGTTCTGCATAGAGGTTGAGAATAGAACTCTACTCTGGAAATGGCTGCCTGTTATTTTTTATTTTCCCCTGGTACTAGGGCTTGGATTCAGGGATCTCACACAGCACTTTTTAAAAATCACAACTCTGACCTTATCACTTTAGCCCACCCTCCACTTCTGCTTTTTTTTTTAAACTTATTATTTGGAGATAAGAGTCTCTTGGATTTGTCTGCATAGGCTGGCTTCTAAACCCTGATCCTCAGATCTCAGCCTCCTGAGTAACTAGGATATTATAGGATATGTGCCCCAGGTGCTCAGCCTTATTATTTTTAAATCACATAGTCATCTTGGAAAAGAAACATCGGCATTCAGAGGCTGCTTAATTCTGGATCTGTCTAGGTTAACAGTTCTAACAGTTAACAGGTTATTTTAATCAGTAAAATTATGGTTATGAAAGAACTACTTAATGTAAGTGCAAAATAATGTAGAAAATAGTATTAGAATTAAACAAGTACAGAGTGTTGAGCAAGGAGGATAGCATTTCTAGGTTAGGAATCTATTGCCAACTTTCTCTGGACCATCCCCAGGCAATTGGATTTTTTTTTTTCTTTGCCTTTGGAATGACTGTTTCCAAAAACAAAGACAGACAGACATACTGGAAGGCAAGGAGAGAAGAGGAGAGGAGAGAGGACAAAAGGAGGATTTATGGGTAGCAAAACACTGTTTTACTTCCAATTAGCTACAATGACTTGGTGGAAGGTATTCTGTGGATTTTTTACCAGAACCTGTAAGATTCTGGTAATTGTGTTAGAATCTCATTGTTTTCCAAAGTGGTTCTAGAAACTCTGCTTTTGAGTGTTTCAGGTGAACCTGTAGGGCTTTAGATATTTGAAGAACACTCAATTGACTTTTGCCTTCCTTGCTTTCCAGTGAGCACCTGATTGTTCTCAGGTCTGCCTCTGCATAGCTGTATGACCAAACACAAGTCACTTGGCTGGTTTGGGCTTCAGTTACTTAGCTTGAGGAATGAGATTACAGATTTTATTATCTTCTTTGAAAAATACCAGCCCAGGTTTCTCTTTGCATGCATGAGAAAAGGAAGCAAAGTACAATTCCAGCAGACCATTACGTTAGCAATAGTTGCATGATTAACCACCGTGTGACTGATACAAACAGACATTAAACATTTGTGAAAGCTTAAATTCATGAAAATAAATTGGACCACAGAATAGAGTTGCATAATTTTCAGATATTTGGCTGTCATGATATTCCTATTACATAGCAAACTATCTTCCATAGAACTTACTAATCATAAAAAGGAAAATAGCAGCACCTTAGCCAAATGTCCAACGTTAATAGCAGTAATGACACAAGTAGATACCAGGTATGTCCTACCAGATCACCTTGCAAAAGACAGAACCCCACTCCGGGGTTACTCCTGCTTCTCCAATGCACAATCTACATGTAATCATCAGGAGTCATCAAGCAAATGGAAATTGAATGCTATCCTGCAAATAATCAACCCGCATTCTTTTAAAATGTCAAGGTTATTCAGACAGAGGAAGTGTTTCCTATTGAAGGGCACCAAAAAGACAGAACAAATAGCACTTTGGGCCAATGCAGATTTCTAGGCACACCTGCAGGAACATCTGTCTGAAAATACATACTTACATATTAAGACTAAGAGAAGTGAAGGATCTTGTCTGATATCCAACAATGTGTTAGTTCACAGGCGATGCTATTTTTCAAATCCGTCTTTCATACATTCAATCAGAGTTTCCAATGGAATATTCCACAGTGTATAGCCTTGCCAGAACTATGCTGGGACATTTCCTTTGTCAAAACAAGAAACAAATAAGGAACCCTGCTGGGAGGGCATATTCCCTGACAGAGAAGTGATGGTTTACCTAGGGTTTTCTTGGTGTGTTTCATCC